AATAATAGGTACATTTCTTATGAAATTTTTATATCAGAGTTTCCTTCTCTTAGGAGACTGCCAGTAGGCTTGGGAGGTCCGACCCCCAGCGGGCTAACCGCGCGTCTGGATACCAGCCAAAATATTTCTATGGCCTTGCGCAGGGATAGCTAGATGGACGTTCACCTCTCGAAGAGTTTCATCCACCCTTTGACAGATCTTGCTTTTGTCCTGCAGGGATTCTAGCCCCCCTCCTCACAATATATATATATATATATATATATATATATATCCGCTTGCATAGATCATCCGCCTAGTAGTGCGGTGCAAACACTATACTTATGATTTAGCCCGCATGCTGAAGCGGTTTACAGGATATGGCGCGTGAAGATTTAGGGGATGGATGAAGACCAGTGTTACCTGTCCACCTTAAAAATAAATTGCAGCAGCCGAGCAACAAAGGTACTACTTCTGCCCACTGCCGCTACACACATAAAACATATATATATATTTTACATTGGATGTCGGAGTAAACAGATCGTCATCAATGTACCAATATATTGGTATATATACTAAAGTATAAAAATATTACAAAGTATAAGAGAAAATTTTATTATTATTACATTTATTATTATTGTTGTTATTGTTTAAAAATATTTGAAAGATAAATTATAAAACAAATTATCTAGTAGTAAAAACGAAACAAAACACCGTTATAACAGGGAACGCTATTCCAATAAAATTGAAAGTGCGTTACTTTACAATTAATCAATAACGTATTGTAAATTGATAAGAAAATGTAAAGAAATAAAGCTTGTATACCAAATGTTATTAAAAGAAACTTTCAATTTCTTGTCATTTCAGAGTCTTTGAGTATCAATAATGAAATAATGCAGAGGATTCGGAAATACTTAGGTAAGCCTAATGGTTATTACGTAGGCCTTTGGAGTGATGACGACGTTATGCCTAGACTCAACACGGATACCTACATCAAGTGTCTTGAGGAGGTAGTGCTGCCCTGGGTAAAATCTATGCCTGGTAACAAGACTCCATGCCACATAAGCAGGAGAAACAGTCATAGCTGTCAAAAAATATCTGCGACCACACCACCCCTTACATCTGGCCAACTAACTCCTTAGACTGCAATCCTCTTGCTTATTATGCGTGGGGTGCAGTTGAGCGAAAAAACAATAATTCGTGTAACACCAAAGATAAACTGAAGGGAAGGATTGTGGTTGCATTTACCAACTTAAAGAGACCGTCCAGAAGAGTTGCAGGAGATTCCGAAGTTGTCTGTAAGCCGTGGTTGAAGCCAATGGCGATTTTATTGAATAAATTTAGTCTTTAGTATTTCAAGATATTTTTTTGAAATTCTGGTAAATATATCTGTTAAAAGGAGATGTCAGTGTTATTTTCATTTTTGCGTAATTTTGACAATTTATCCACGCACCCTTTATATAAGTTCTAATTGCTTAGACAACCACCGAAAATGTAGGTCACTATGCCAGTATATATAGGATAACACGTGATTGAAAACGTCTTTAAATAATTATGGCAACTGAAAAAGGATAAGAACAAAAACTTGACTGTTGACGTGCCATCGAATATTGTTATCTTTCTTTCATGCCTGAATAATTTGACCTGGTCGACTTCATTTTCACGGTGTTACGCTTAAATAGTAGGGTCCAACCGATAAGGGCAAAAAAATAAAAAAAAATCGACGGAAAGAGACAAGTGGATGGCAGCCGGGAATTATTATCTTGATTTTAAATTAACTCAAAAAGAGGAGAAAACTACGTCCTCCCGAAAGGTAACTTAATAATATTCAGATAAAATTACGACTCAGTAACTCAGCAATTTATCCAACATAAAATATAAAAAAAATAGTTAAATAAAATTCCCCAAACAGGTTTACTAGTAATTTGGGGGGGGGGTCACTTACATAGTAGCAAACCACCCATCTGGGCTTCATATTCCATCAGGGAGAAGTAAATTCCACTTGAGCGGCTTCTTCCCGCGAACCATTGCCCCGTGGAACCGATTCCCAACAGGAAGTTTCCCCGATCGCTACAATCTTAACCACTTCAAGGCTAGGGTTAACGGTTATCTTTCACTCCTATATATACAAATGGCCTCCAAATGTAACCATCTACCATGAGTGGCCTTCGAGCCTTGTAAAAGATGAACCTCATTGAAAATCGCGTAATTCGGGTGTTTCTTCATTTAGTTTTATTCGATAGACTCGATAATCAACAAGTCTCATATTTTATTGTTTTGATTGAAGAAAATTGAAACCGCAAATTTGTGTGAATCTCTCAAGGGCGCATCACAGCCTAAGAGACAACCAACACAGCAACTTATACTCAATCGTCAAAATATGAAAAAAAACCAACATATATCGCCTATCAACCAATTTATTTATTAAACAGTATATTTATTTTCGTCTACCGGCATGAATGTTCGAGAAATCCTATAAGAGAAATCCTATTATCTATACCAGGGTTTCCCAATCATTTTTGTGTCATCGCCCACCTTCATATGAAAAAATTATCCACCGCCCACCTCTATAGTAAATATTCAAAAGCATACAATCATAGGTAAAAGTTTTGACAGGTACCTTTCCTCCCTTGATAAATTCGAGATGGCAAAAATAAAAAATAATAATTATACTAAACTAGCAGACTTCGCCCGCTCGCTATCTGGTAATTTTTCTAGCGGATTAATGTTCACTATTTATGAAATGTTAAAGGGGTTGTGGGCGTTTAATATATTTGTTCAACGAATATGACTATAAAGACAGAAGAAATTAATTGGTCTGGTGTAGAAGAAGACTTGTTATAGTTAAGGAAAGTTTTACAAATAGATGCCAACTTGTTGAAGGCCAAGTAAAATGAAAATTCCATAAGGCAATATTCCTAAACAGAACTATTTTTTATTTGAAAATCAAAACAATCCTCGAATAAAAGAACAGTAAAGGACAATTAAAGAATGAATATACTCTTTTAAAATCAATATGAAAATTAGTTAAACCTGAAAAGTGATATCACCTAGAAGTAGATAATATATAACTCAAATATTGAGCTTTTAATGGGCATATTACTATAAAGTAGAATTGAGAACATTTTAACCTCAGAATTCGTGAGAGAATTGAGCTCCAATTTCGCATTTATTCATATGGCGTAAAATTATCCTGAGGTCACTTCTTAGTTATACTGATAAAGTTATTCTTGGTTTTTCCTTATCTGATTTATATCCGAAAATAATTGTAATGTTACTTCGTCTGAAGAACTATTTGAATGTTAATGAACATTCTGAAAACAATATAAAATACCAAAATATTCCTTGTTTGCGGAGATATTTATAGCTTATATAGGAATGTGACTCAATTATTCCCATTTAGACTCCTGTATTTTTAATACCGGTTCCTTGCATACCTCATTTAAATATCTTTCCGATTTTGAAATAAATTTTTAATACTGACTAATCCTATAGCACCAACCAAAATTTTCAATCATCCACCATTTTTTGTTCAGTTGCTCATCGCCTACTCAACAGTTGAAATAGACCACTGCTGAGCGATATCGGCCAGGTTGGGAAACCCTAATCTATGCCAACTTCCTTATCTTTGTTGTTTTGTGATGAGATTATTAAAGACATTACTTTTGTGTAGGTGTGTAAGACCAAATAAATAGTGTAAAGGAATTCACTATATTTTTTTTTTATACTAGTGTTCACCCAAAACAAGTCTCAAGTGCCACTCAAGGTAGGGGATTACAGATTGACGTTGTTATAAGGGCATAAAAAGAAAGAAGCAAATGGTTCATATTATGAGCAAATGTAGGATAGATAAAAGGTCAACCATAAACTTGTAGGGGTTAAGAGTGTAGTGATCTGGGAAGCGCCCTTTCAGAAACCTGTTCCACAAAATAATAGTTCTAGGGAAGAAACAAAGTAGAACTTCTTCCTTGTTAATGGAATACAAATTGAACGATGATGAGTCGACCCTGTGGCATGCCGACTCCTAGCCGCAAAGGTCTAGACAGGTGAAAGATCGTCTAAACATCCGCCATGAAAATAACGATAGAGAAGTGAGAGTTTAGTCTGTGGGGTAAAGATTGTGGGGGTGATAACTAATCATCAGCAAGGCCGAGTAAAGACTTTTGAAATCTATCATGACTGGAAAGTGAGGATTGGGTATCTCCAGCCCAGATATGACAGCAAGACTTCATTTTTGGTTTTATCTGACTCTGGAAAATATTGAGCATTGCAAGAGTACTTTCTGTGGTGGTACAGGGAAGCGACCATTTTTCTAGGATCTTTAACAATGGATTGTATATACAAATTTCACTTGAGACCTGAAGTTAGCTTGAATGCTAATGATACTAATTCAGGATATAAAGGATTTTACAGGTCACTTACAGGGATACACACACACAACTCGCATTCATGTTATAGATTAGTGATTACTATAATTTTATTTACTACTGTTATAAAATAAAATAAGACATATCTCGGCTGATTTACAGGCAAATAAACATACTCAAGAGCGAGAGCCGGATGAACAGGACAAAGCCCCCGTCACAAAATGACCATTATCTTCGTTTACACATGTTCCCCGACGCACGTGTTCCGGTCGAAAAAATAAAATAATATTTTAAAGTGTTTCTATTTTCGACCAATAAAAATTCTTCCCTCCTAATTATACTCGCGTCGTTTTTCGAGCGTGTTAAGCCATAAAAAACGCCATAAAAGGGGTCACACGGAAGTACAACGGCAATCAACAGGAGGCCAGGGAAGAGACCTGTCACGGTCAGACTGAGCGGTCAGCAGCAGTCAGCAGGGGGGACGCCAGCGTCAACCAGTGTGAACTACTACGAGAGATCAACCCAGACCAGAAGCCGGCTTATGAACTATACCACAAGGTAGCTGTCCCAAACCCACACGTTCCTGTTGAAATAAATCACGTAAATCTATTTCTACTGTTGTCGTAATCTTGCAACCATACGCTTGTCTATAACACTACCATATCATGTTCAAAATACCGCTTCTCATACGATCACCGAAGTTAAGCAACGTCGGGTTTGGTCAGTACCTAGATGGGAGATCGCTTGAGAATGCCAAGCTTGGATGTGCGGGGAGCGTAGTAGATAATGGTTTGCAATTGGAAATCGGAGAGCCGAGTTCCAATTCCAGTCAGGTTCGTTATATTCATTTACGCGGAAATAGCCTTGGAAAAGGGTATGAATCTACTTTGTCACCCACCAAGTATGAGTTAATTTTTAAGACTTGTATCATTAAATTATTTTATCTACCCCCACCCAAATAATCTGTTACAATCTAAAAATATTTTCTGGCTTTAAATAACCTGCAAAGATAGATAAACCCTAGAAGATGAATCAATCAAACCTTCTCTTATATGAGGCTCGAAGGCTCACACTATTGCTATTTAACCTATAACAGTGGGAGAGAGAAGTGGTGAACTCATGACTTACCCAATGGCATTAGACTAACTCTGAACTTCCACGGATCAGTGCTTCTATTTTCTACGTCACTAACCGTTATGTTATTCGCATATTTTTTCTCAAGATACATATTGATCTCCACATTTAGATTTGATTATAAATGATCACCCCCACCACCACCACAATCTCCATAGCTGAGAGATATTAATGCTTCATTTTTAAATTGGAGCCTAACTTCACAAAGGGCCTTTTTCTCAGGATATTTTCTATGACATCCAGATCAGTTGCTCGTTTCAAAAATAGAAAAAACATGCAACAAAAAGGGATGTATGTTAACTTACGCATTTTCAGAATCACGCCGAATTTTACAAAGTTTGTTTTAGTTTCTTCTATTGCTTTTTCTCCTCAATAACGTCGGCTCAGGTTTCATTCACTCTCAGTAACCTCCCCACTTCCGTGTTAGTGGATTTATCGCCTTGCTTGGGGTGAAATGATTAAAAAAGTAAAAAAACTATAAATTCTTCAACTCTTTGAAGTTTCATTACTTACATATAAAACAATAAAAAATGGGGAATATTTATTTTTCTACTTCTAATTCCATTTTGGTGATATAGAACAATCAAACCTTTCACTAAATCGATTTCTTGAATTTTTAGCAGACAAAAGATAATTTCAATATTTTGAAATTTCTACTCGTGAATATGATGATTTCTAAAAGTGTTAGATTTTGTTTCTTTTCTAATCAAGCACTTGGAATAGAACCTCAAATCTCTCAAGTTTTGCTTAACCATTAAACGATATCCTATCATACTGGATTTCTATGAAATTTAAGGCAAAAAAGGTGGAATCGTATTTTACGCGGGTACATGTTTTCAGAAATGTTTACTCAGTCTAAAAAAACTCTTATTTAAAACAGCAAGATTGCAAACACACTAAGTTAGCACAATAGACAATAAATAATGTAGACAGGTGTTAACAATTGCTTACAAAAAGCTATTTGATATGTTGACAATATTTGTTCTTGGGGAATCAGTGAAATTGAATGTCTTTTGTCTCAAAAACAGAAAATTCACCGAAATTGCTTAAAAAAAATAATAAAAGGGAATACACAAGATCTGTGTTGTTTTGATAACAATGTTATAACAAAGCACTTTTGCTGGAAAATTCGAAAATAATTTTTTGAAATGGAAATTAGGGGAAGAACCACGCAATTGCTAAACATCCAGTTGATTTCTATTCTTTAATATCGTGAAAAACTAAATATCTTAATGAAATATATGTACGACATTGAGAATTTAATAGATAATATGGTACAACTTTAGAAAAAAAAAATTATATAGGAATGGTTGTACTCGGCTAATCAGTTAAGTGTCATACGTAATACACACTTGGATGATCATATCCGTTTCGATTCATGACTGACTAGGCAGAAGATTTTCCCGTGCTAGGTTGACGTTTCTTTCTGTGTAGATTGGTTGTCAACCAAGACTATAGGACCCAGCCTGTTCTAGTATTCAACTCATAGCTGGGAGGGGGTAGCTTAGAATAAATGGATTCATACCTTTCCCAAGGGTTTTTACGCATATGTGAATGTTGTGTCGGAAACCTACCACCCCTCTGGAAGATGAACTTGTCTGCGAACAAAGACTTTAAATAGTGACATGACGGAAGACAGATAGACCGAGAAGTTCTTAGTTGAGCTAGTTATTGACTACTCAGGCGATTTCTGTACCTTTTTACCAACCTATTAAAACCCTTTTTATTGTTACGTGTTATTTGGCGTTTGTCTCTACTAACCCCAAATCAACATCATAACAGTGAATGTAACAAAATCCACTGGAATTCGATTCTGTGTGTTATTTAATACCGAAATCTGAATATTTTGCAGAGAGGGGATAATGGTTTTAGTCATACAAGTCTTACTAATTAACTCATAGCTGGGGGGGGGAGAAGAGGTGGATACATACCTTTCCCCAAAGGTATTTGCGCGTAAGTGGATATAATGAACCCGATTGGAAATGGAGCTCTCCGATTAATAATTCGGAGCTATTATCCAATACACCACACCGTACGTCCGATCGTTGTACTACGCAAGGATGTAATTTGTTCCCCAGCTTTTAGCTTCAGAAGCATGAAAATGCGGTAATCGATAAAATATCTATTGTACAACACCATTATTTACTCTTATGCAGTTTACCATTGGGATGCAACCGTATTGGATTATGGGAAAATCTGTCTTAGTTTTATCTATAGAATCGGGGACGAGTTATGACAACTTTTAATTATTACTGTCCCGGAAATTCCTTTCTGCTTTGAATTTTTTCTTTTTTAATTAAAAAGAAAATTCAAACAGAAAGGGCATTTAGTAACGAAGCGAGATTCTCACCGACCAAATCATCAACACAGAACTCTTCACCCTGGTTATCTAACAAATCTTAGTGTTTGTAGGGATGAATAAAAAATCTTTTTTAAAAAATGACTTCTCTTGACCCGATTCATTCAACCAAAGAGACAAAAGGAACAATGATTTAATCAGTGTGAAATAGATTCATCTTCTGTTGACTAATAAAAAAAAAATCTGTAACAATATTTTTGCGAGTAAAACAGCTTAAAACCTCACGTGGAGTTTGTACTAATTTCTTTCTAGACAGAGTTACAATGTTGTCTCGTGTTTCTAATGTTTGCAAAAAATGTGCCCCGATATTCTAAATGGTTACGTGCGTCCTTGACAATATATGGAGGTTACAATGCGCGCAAGGGATAGTTTTATTCAGTTGAAATCAGCAGTTTGCATCGGCCGACTCACTTTTCTTTTCTTTTTTTTTTTGCCTCTTACTAAATTAATTCTTTGTAAAGTAGTTTTCAGCCAAGCAAATGTTTATGCCTCGTGGTTTAATTACTCGACTCCAAACTGGACAGAAGAATTACTTATCATTATCTATCAACGCAAATTCCTGTGATTTCTCATCTCGAGAAAGGCTGCTCAGACCCGTTTTTTTTTTATTTATTTGTTTCTTCAACACTCAGAGAGCCAATCTGTAGTATATACTACAACTATACCGAGCGGCTTACGGACACATCACGTTAAAACACCGGTTCGCGTATGATCACTGAAGTTAAGCAACGTCAAACCTAGATGGGTGACCGCTTGGCAATACCAGATGCTGTAAGCTTAGATGTGTGGGTGGTGTAATGGATAATAGTTGGGAATTGTTAATCGGAGAGCCGAGTTCCAATTCCAGTTGAGTTCGTTATATTCACTTATGCACAAATACATTTGGGAAAGGTACGAATCAACCCCTTCTCCTCCCATCTATGGGTTAATCAGTAAAACTTGCATCACTAAATCATCATCTCCCCCACCCACGAAAAAATAAAATAAAATTGCGCATAAAATATTTAGATTTCGGTATTAAATAATCCATAGAGGTTGATATGCCGCTAAACAAAAACAAAAAAAAACGCTAACCAATTATGCTGAGTGCACCTTAGTTAGAGTATATGCACAATCAGGGCCGCATACGGTTTTGAATTCAGAGTTGTTGTTTTCTTATACCAGTTGCTAATCACAGCTACAGAGTTAAGTCTGCCCTGATATTTCACCCATAGTTAGATGGGGGAGATGGATTTATACCTTTTCCAAGAGCATGAGTGAATTCGAACTGGCTTCATCTATTTCTTGTTTCGAGTCACTAACAGTCATATCACCAGCACGTACAGAGAATTCTTTGTACGAATTTGAAATACGAGTTTTCCTTATCTTTTATTTCATATTAAAATGTTAAAAAAAGTAATGATATCATTAACTATTCTTTTCAAAAATTCTTTTAACAAATACCTAAAATGTTTGGACTAAAAGAACCGTTTGAAGTTATCTAATCTTCATACGTATAAATGAGCCGAAACGCGCGCACATATATACACATTTTTCTGATGAAATCCTACTTGCGAGCTATGATAACTGCGTACTCTCTACTGGTAACAATGGTTGAGTTTCAATCTCTGGAAAACACCATTGTCAATTTTCAAAACAAAACGTTTGGTTTGTTGATTGATTTTGTTCAGCGGCATATCAATCTCTGGGTTAATTAAAACCGAAATCTAAATATGGCTTCAACTAAAAATATATTTTGAACGCAATTGTACACCGTCAACTACAGATAAAAGGTATCGATGGCTATGTTGCATTAAAAATGTGTTGTTGCTAATTTTACTATAAATAGGTATTTTTGCTAAATTTTTATTTATTTATTTTTTTTTTTTTTACATAAAAATGTATTGCTGGTAGTTTTACTATGAAATATATTGTTATACTTTCATCGCGTTTTGTTTGTGGTTTCATTATTTGCCCATAGCTGGGATCCTAACAGGTGGCTCCACACTCCTCAAATTCCTTGAGCAGAGGCCTTGATGCCAAATGTAGTGTATAGTCATACTCAGGAATTCAAAACAAACTGCCCCCTCCCATTCTTAAAATACTAGGATAGTTAAATCTTATCCTCACTAATTTAGCCTATGTTACACAAAGGGAAATTTATTAAATATATATTCCTACCAGCGTTTGACCGCTCGAGACGGTTTTAGAATTTGACGCCCTCTCTAAAAAATATTCCCAAACTGCAATAGTATCTACAAAACATAAGGAAATATTAAAATAA